GTTATAGGAAACAGTTCATCCAGAAATCACTGGCATGTAGATGGCGCCATGCATGGGTTATTGTGCGCTTAGAATTCAAAGATGACGTTATTGTAATTTATTTTTTCAATCATAATTTGAAGTAAGTCTAGTACAACATAACTAACACCATGTCACATTTTAAGAAATACAATCCGGGATATTCCCGACATCGACATTTTCGTAGTTTTTAATAAATATATTCTATCGCCCCCTATATAATCTGTTACTATGGAGACTCCAAAGCAGGGGTAGCCAACCTTTACGTAACAACTTTTTTTAACAACTAGTTTTAAAAATAAAATGTCATCAGTGACGTGCTCAAATATTGTGCCGTTAATGTCAAGCGTGCTACTGGTTAGCAGGTATAGACCTGCTCTAAAGTATAGATACTGTCGTGTTATGGTATATTTTCTATTGCTATTCGACATGTCAGTAAAGAACCATATAATTAAAAAAAATGTTTTAGACCAAATATTAATTTTGACTGTAACCAGACGTTAGCTTGTGTCGTGTTGCTGGTGTTGCGGGCAGGTGTTCGCGGAATGCGGAATGCTCACACTGCTCGCCGCTCGACGTTCGCTTCCCGCACTTTCGCTGCAAACATCCGTCGGTCCGCATCGCTGTTATGTAAACTGGATGCCCTCTATTCGAATCCACGTTTAGACCGAGTTATAAACTAGTTAAATATTCGGTAACATTTTGTTTTACATCTTACTAATATTAAAAATGCGAATGTTTGGATGTATGAATGTTTGTTTGAAGTTATCTCCGGAACGGCTCTACGGATCTCGCTGAAATTTGGCATAGATGTAGGATTTAGTCTGAAAGAATACATAGGTTACTTATTAAGTTTTTTTTAATTCCGCGCGGACGGTGTCACGGGCGACAGCTAGTTTTAGATAAAGCTTTCAATCGATTGTCATTTGATTTATAACAAAACGAGACAACATACATAAAATATTTTAGCCATTTATAGATGGTCGGAAGCTTTTAGAATTATAGGTCTGTGAGTAAGTCATTGTCAAATGCACCGACGATATTGCCAAGGTTTAAGAGATGCCTGGACGATATTTTGTACCGATTTTTGCGTGTTGTAACTTTTCTTTTGACTTTTAAGACTCTTGCGTTATGTTAAAATCTTGTAAAGTTTCATCTGACCTGATCCCTTAACCCTTCAAAAAGTCAAAGATTAAAAAGCAAATAAAATTAATAATACATTCCGAAAACTATTTGCGAACATCACTTTTGTTTTCAAAACGTAATCGATTTTGTAGCCTAATTTAAACGAATAAAAAATAACGAATAACTTCTGATGAAATGAAGTTCGTGTCGTTAATTCGATTCAAAAGGTTGCGTGTGCTCAGTTCGATACATTAATGTTATCTGGAGCTTCAGCCGTGAGCCCGCGGCCACGGACAGCTACTGCTACTGCCCGCACGCGAATGCCGATAATATAATGAATACAATTAATCGAAATTGTAATATAATCGATTTTAAATTTCGATTATACTACTGGCCAGCTATAATCTCGATCGCTGAAGGGCTTAATACAAAATTATTTGATCATTTCCGCACGGATGTTCACACCCGGGATAACGTTCGGATTTAAATAAATTATTTTTACGGAAACACGATTTTGAATATGGAATAATTTAATTCTGAGCACTTACAATTCATCGCAGTGTATATGATTAAATGAGCAAATTAAGAAAAAAACAATAAAACAGATAATTTTGTGTTAAGTTTTCTCCAATCCTTAAGTTGATAAGCCCCTGGTACTTCAATCGGCAATAACTTAATCTTTTCTCTAAAGTCGTGTTATCGTACTGATCCAATCAGCCACTTACACGTTAGGTAAATCAATTGTAAATTGATTCTTAATATTAATTCCAATTTTTTTCTATTACAAATAAGAAAGTTTGTAGGACTGCAGGGTTGTTACGTTGATATGCGTGCGGGTAAATATCTCTCAGAGCGACTGTGCGTTTGCTCCCCCGCGGCTACCCTACCGAATTACACACATCCTTTCTCACAACTTTACAATACCAGATGGAAAATACAATAGTACTTACGAACGAATCCAATAATCGATATTCTAGTACAAAAGCAATTGAAAACTTGGTCTATTTTCTATGTTCAAGCAATCGATCCATTAATGTACTCTCTTTCATAGAGTCTTTAAAATCTAGGTTTTATATTTATCGTTAATTGATAATGAGCTGAGCTTTTTTGCCAAACAGAATAATAGAAATTTATTTATATATACAAATAATACAAACAGAGGAACATACAGATGACAGGCGAAGACAGCATTCACTGGACAAGATTTATCGTAGAGGACAAGAAATGTAAATATGTTTTATATTTAGTAAAGCTGTTTCGAAATGGAAACTCATGGTTATTTCAGCAATATTTAATTGAAATGCAAATCTCAAAGCTGTAATACTTCTTTCATTTAATATTTAATCCAGACATAATTAAACTAGAGGCGCCAACGCTTGGATCTACCTGTCGGCGAGCCTTTGCCTTCCTTCTATTATACAACTTAAAAAAAACACTTAATGTCTATACGTAGCGGAGCGCGGTAACTTCTCACAGTTCCACTGCCCCTCCCTACCTTCCCTCCCCTCCCGCACCCCGCCTCGTAACTCCCAACCCAAATAAAACACAACCTTTCAAGGATACAACCACCGTAATTTAAAACACTAATCATTAACGAAATTCGCAAAAGAAATTAAACTTTAACACAAACCAATACGATACATTTTGCAGTACCGTCGTTCAAAACATGCAATTTAAATTGCTACAAAGTAATTAGAACTCTAATGTGTATAGAATAAAGATAAATTTGTATAAATGAAAGAGGAGGTTGCATTGGTGAAGAAAGGGAGAAGAGCGAAGAGGGTTCATTAATCCCCGCGCCCTGCGCTCACGCACTTTCATGAATGGACCGAACAGGTTGTTGTATCCCATATACAGGAGGTTAGATAAAACTTTAAAATTTTATTTATTTCATACAATAAGTATTTGAAGAATTTAATATGGACTCAAACCTCTGGTAAAGAGATCAAAGAAAGGGCAATTTGTCTTCCAAAATATTGTACAAGTCCTGACTGCTGAATAGAGGACGACGTCAAATAATTTAGGCTATTTAAGGTGTTCTTTAGTGTAGTACTTTACTATTTAAGGTGATAGTTGTTTTTTGAAAATAAACATTTAAGTTCGATGATCTTTGAACAATGATAATATTGAATGAATAATGTTAGGTGTGAATGGTCGACATAAAATTTAAATCATTGTGCCATCAGTCGCTTCATGCCGAGCCGGGGTCGCAGATCGCGCTCTTGTTACAATTCATCGGCACATTTAAAGTATTTGTCGCAAGGATTTGCATTTAAGTGCGAGTTCTAACAGTTCAAGCTTCCATTTAAATATATTTTACTATAGAGTACTTCTTATTTGTCTAATTCATAAAAATAGTTATAATTAAAGATTGTTTTAAAAATTTAGGTTTAAAAATTAAAATCCAAAGTATGTTTCACTGATAGCTTCTTTTTATAAGCGTTTATTTTTTCTTATACAACATATACAACATTTTGTTTTCAGAGTTTAGTTCAGTGTCACAGCTTGGTTTAGTTTGTATAGATCCTGTATCACCCTGTATAGTGCAGCGGCGAAGGAAGCGCCGCAACGTCCGGCCGCGTGGATGTAGCGTGATGCTCTTTTTCCTTTTCGGTTTATTTTTTGTTCATCTCATTTATTTATTCCAATGTAATCTCTTCCAGTTCGTTTTTTTATTCAGTCGGCCTTCAGTGTTACCTGTGTCAGGACGCCAATAGGTAGTCCATTGTCGTTTGCTAAAATAATATCACTAACTTTCTTTAAAAAGTTAACTTGAAATTTCGCGCGTTTTTAAAGTGCTCTTTTGAAAATGGAATGATTTAAATTATCGGTGATCAGTGTGCGACTTTGATGTTGTTTTGGTATGATGGAACTACCAGATTACTTGTTGTTCCTGACTCGCACTTCCCTGAGTTGTGCCCAAAGCTGGGCAATGGATTCCCCACAGTCGCCCAAGTTTAATGTGCCTATATGGCAGCCTTGGATACCGTCGCCTCAAAAAGGTATCAGTAGTGTTCATATTATTTTTTATATTGCAAAAGAAAATGTTTAAGCAAGCTTCCATTCGAATTCGCCAAAATAGCGAAGTGACCGTTGCCCATAGACATCTGCATCTGCAAACGCGCTTCCTACCTTTAATTGATAGAGAGGACACATAGAAAGTGGATATTTCCCCTTTCTATGCGTCACCTCCTCTGCCAAATAAAACCCCTTCGCATCCTATTCTTATAAGAAAATGGTGTGGAGGGGAAGAGGACTCAAATTTGGACTTCTCGCCTGTCTTCTGTGTGATTGTAGTATTTAACCGGTAGCTGGTCATTTGTGCAAAATATGTTATTGCCAGCTCTACTCGTACCACTGATAAACACTGTTATAGTTAAGCCATAAATTAACGCTTTACATTTCTATTATCTGACAAGTTTCACTAGTTTTAAAAATATGATGTTGTTTTTATTTTGCAATTATTATGGAAGTTAAAGTTTTTAGTATGACGGGAAAGGTAAACAATAAATAGTACTTGACGCGTACCGATGTTTGTAAAAATAAATAGTTGGTTTAACAGCTATTCGTAACTAAAAGCGAACTAATTCGTTAACAGCGAAACATCGTAATAGATTTGTGATTTAAGCTAAAAATTATATGAAAAGGTCTTTAACAAAATATACGTCTGGCATATTCAAGAAACTTTTTGCTCATTGGCATAAAGCGTTTTCATTTTTTCTTTACTATTTCTACTATAAAGCCCCCCAGTAATACTGTCCAGAATGGTAATAATGGTAGTATTGTGGTCAAGGTCTAGTTAGTGATAGCATTGTTGTCAAAAGTGGCAGATTTAATAATTAATTGTCATATTCCAGAGACTCCAAGCACAGCGTCCAGCGGGGAGTCGGAGGGCGACCGCACGCTGTCGCCGGAGACGCCGCGCGCGCAGTCAAAGGAGCTCACAGGCAAATGGAGGAGGGAACGTCGATCGACCCGCTTGCCTGATTATAGACCGAAGTAAGTTTACTTTTTAATTGTTTTGTCTGTTTGAAAATTTATGTTAAATAGTAAAAAAAAAAGAATAAATACTTAAACTCGTTACCCGATGAAAAAAAGGGGTGCGTTACTTTTAACATGATCTAATGTGATTCGATTTTTCTATTATTTTATTATTTCTATAACTCATAAACATAATTTTTTATTATCTAAGTTTATTTTATTTTAAATACAGGCATTTAAGTATTTTAATTTATCGATAACATATAATTTTCCAGGGAGAATTGCAAGATGGCGTTGCGTTCTCAGTCGTTTAACGAGCGACGCGCCGCGCCAGCCGTGGCCCGCGCGCAGCCGCACAGCGACGGCGAGCTGTCTGATGAAGTGGAGGATTCCTCCGCCATCAATTCGAAAGGTAAGAAATTAATATTTACTACTTTTACTTTTTTTTACTTAATAGAGCAATCAGTGTTTTCAACATCCGCAACTTGAAAGAATTTTAGCTATGTCACTTTAAAAAAAAAAGTAGAGTTTGCAATGATAGAGCATTATATTCTCGACATTCCAATATTAGGCACAGACACTCGCTGCATTTATTCGGCTTTCTTTAGTTACCTATAATGAGACGCAATTTTTTTTTCTATAATGCTTGTTTAATTTATAATCTGTGTATTTTAGATGGTAATTTATTAATAATATTGTGTAACATTTCCAGCTCCGCCGGAGTATCCGGGCAAGCATGAGGCGCCGATCGACATGCGGTTGAGGTCGCGTCCCGCGCCGCCGCCCTACGCACGACCCACTGTCATCAAGACCAACGACACGCCGCCCGGTAAGTACTCCACACTGACAATCTATCTGCCACACTCAGAATCAATTAATGATCACTTAAACTTTCGCTTAGTGTACATTACTAAACACTGGCTAACTTAGCTTGTGGTACAATGTTATTATAATACTTCTCTGCCTACCCGTAATCAAGTATTTTTTATGCAATAATGCGTCGTATTTATTACTTAATATGTTAAAGGTTTACATTAAATATGTACTTAAAAGATGTACAACTTAATTACTATATTTTATGCTTTGCTTGTGTTTCATAAATATAACATTGTATATTTTACTGTCGTCCATTACTTTGAAAGTAAACCCGCCTTATGGAATTTTAATATTTTTAGATGCCAAGCTATCGTTGTACAAGAGACAACTCGTTTTCAACCACGCCTCCGTATGCGCGGGATTTAAAAAAAAACTTAATTAGTAGCCTGTGTGTTCTTCTAGACCAGTGGTTCGCAAACTTATTTTGTCTACTGCCCACTTTGAGAATAAATATTTTTAGCGCCCCCATATTTTCACATATTTAAAAACCACTATAACTTCAAATTAAATTAATTTATTATTGTGACCTATATATGTATATTAACGGAGAATTCTAAACGAAACTTTTACTATAAACCGCAACTTGAGACCTGCAGCGCCCACAAGGGGGCGTTATCGCCCACTTTGGGAAAGACTGTTCTAGAATATGCATTCTATATTTATGGCAAATTTCAGCGAGATCCGTTGAAGCGTTCTGGAGATACAATTTAACAAACATCTATTCTTGCATACATCTAAACATTCTCATTTATAATATTAGTTAGGTTACTAAGGTTATAACTTACGTATTAGAATCTTCACTATACATTTCATTAATAGTTTTAATATTCCATCATAAATACAATAATATAATTTTAATGTCAATAATTCCAGGTTCAATGTCGATGTGCGATCCAGTCATAGACGAGCACTTCAGACGTTCTCTGGGCGACGACTACATGAATCTATTCAAGAAGAACACGGAACAAGTACAGCCCGGACCTAAACCTAACACAAAGGATAGAGCGAGCAGTCCAATACAATTCAAACCTGAAGAACCTAAATCTACTAAAATCATAGCAATGGAAGTTGATGATGCCAGTATGTCGGTGGATGATCATTTCGCGAAGGCATTAGGTGACACGTGGCGTCAGATACAAACATCAAGACAAAAGGAAGACAAGCCACAGTCCAGCAAAGTCGTCGACGATCACTTCAGCAAAGCATTAGGAGACACGTGGAAGAAAATACAGACATCGAAGCATCTAGAAGAAAAACCTAAAGACCAAAATAAGATAATCTCTAGGAGTGGGGTTGTGATATAATAAGTTGGGTCTGATAGAACTGGTCCAGTCTTGTCTTTCGCGTAATGCGAAGTCCGTCTTGTTTGAGGAATAAGTATTTATCGTTGGTCTTTGAATCCATGACAATTATGTTACCTTACGGTTATGGGATATTTTAGCGTGGGTTTCCGATTCAAAAGTTTGTTACTTTCTTGTCACAACAATATTCATAAGATATAGGATTTTTTTTAACTCTTCTTGTACTGTATGTGAAATTTGATTCACTATGTAATATTGAAAAAAATCATATTTCGTGTACATTTATGTATATTTGTTTTGCTGATAAGGTATAACCAATTTTTTTCTATTGTCTGTATGTCTGTTAGCAAGGCTCCATTTGTTCTGGTAATCTCCAGAACGAGTGGACTGATTTTGACCGAAAGATGCACATATTATAAGCTTTTTTTCTGCACTGATGAAGTCGCGGGCGACCGCTAGTTTATATTGTAAAGTTGTGTTTAATTGAAAGATATTCATTTGTATATAACCATTTTATCTTGTCGGGAATCCAGCGCGTTAAAATTATTTTTAATATTAATGATAAAAATTCGATGTAGTCAATTATTAGTCACCAGTTACACGATAAGTTATTACCTCAATTTTATGCGCTTTTGCACAATTCACTATTATTTAGGTAAATATATATTTAAGTAATCTGTAAATAATAGCCGGTATATTAAAATGTATGGGTTATTTAAGCGACTTGCTAGAATTAGAATAACATTTGAAAGATATAAATACATAGATACATTGACTGTGGGTTTCTGAGACTGAAATATCACCTTGAAACATATTTCCGTTTTGTCAAAGGGACAGGGATGACGATACGTTTTATACAGAGATTTTGGGCTCAAAAACCTACGGTAAGTTGTATACATGCTTTTGTGTTAAGGGATTTATTTAAAAAGAACAAAAGAATATTCTTTTTTTAATGTTTTTTTTTCTATTTAATTTCTTTATTTTCAATTAAGTTTTTCCTATTAAACATTTAACATGTTAAAAATAATCCATTCGGAAAGGCTTAAATATTTTTTATGGCAACATTTAATAACCAAAAACAAAAACGATGCTCCATATTTATTATTTTTATTCTAATAATAAATCTTTATTTCTTTTTTGTATTAAAATTCTTTTTACTTTAAAAATGTGATCAAAATTAATTATAATATTTTAAATTAGTGTTTTATTTAATTTAGTTATTATTTTGCTAATTAACGACTTGTCTATGTATTTAAATCTGCGTCATGACTAATTTATATTATTCCAGTCCAGCGACTGAAACCAGCGCATCATTGCAACGTGCGTTCTTGATTAACTGGACACACACTTGAATGACACATGGTGAATTTACATTTCTCCAATTGTAAACCAGAGCTGGATTAAGTCACTGGACTGGAATAATTTAAACTAGCCAACTCTAGTTGTATATTTATGTTTATTTCTCGTTGCAATGTTCCTTGTGTATAATGTTTATGTCCTAGTTTTTAGCTCATTTTGCTGTGAGTTTTCACCGTCGAAATACTTGTTTGAGAACATATTGTCATCCTTCTTACTCTTATTGAAAAGAACAGAGACAGATGTTCTGATACAAGTTTTACGACGGTGGAAATTCGCGGTTGAGGTTTGTAAATGTTTCGTATGAACTGTGTACAATAAATTACAATGCTATCATAACTCTTTCTTTTATTTTATTAAAGCTTATAATTTTATCACGAATTGATTGACTAATGTGGTACCTAATATCGACAAATGAGACGAAAAGAGCTGTTTTTCTGTATAAAAAAGATACGTATCCATATATACATACAAATCCAAATCATTACTTTATCTTTATTTCGTCATGTAAACACCAAAAACCACGACTAAAAATTGTAAACATTTTCAAGGGTCTGTAAAGTTGCACTCTTGTAGGAAACTTTCGTCTTATTAGTTGACTTGTCAGATCAAACCTCTTTGGTTCAATATTCTGGGATCATGAAATATTAAACAATTTTTTATAACATAATATATTTTATTAAATTTTCTTCTGATACATAATTAACACTAAGTAATTTACTTAGGAATCTATAAATAAAACAACAGTTGTCTTGAAATAATCACTTTAATGCCAGATATATACAACATTTATATTCACAATACATATTAACCGTGAGTTTCTACTGTTAACAAATATAAAATAATAAATAACACCAGTGGAAACCCAGTTAAGTTCGTTGCGATGACGTCAATACACGTTAGCCGTTGCAGACTGGAACTTTTCGTGTAGTTTCCGTCGCGCTGTCATTTCGCAGGACGTCCAAATTCGAGAACTGAATTCGAATGGTGCTAGAGACTTATCACACTCTATCCACACACCCGAATACAGTTGTCAAAACATGGACCGGTGAGTACGATGAAACTTCGATAAAAATAAATCTGAAATAAAAAAATATTTATTATTTTCATAAATATTTTAATAAATTAGGTGTACATAACTTTTTAGGTAGGATTTAAAAATAAATCTAAAACCCATTTAAATGGTCATAAAATCAAGCGAAAAACTTCTAGAAATAAAATAATTAAAAGTGTTAAATTAAAGGACAGTCAGGCGTAATATTTTATTACGTGCGTCAGAATTGTCATTAGCAATTAATAAGAGGTCCACGTGCCTCCGACGAACGATTGGTATCGGCTTGCGACGTGCCCCCAACGCTGAACGCTTCCATTATTTACGCTTACTTTCACACGAGGACAGAACAATAGGAAAGATTGTTTGAACTCTCTCTTATTGTCAAATCTCTGTTTTATCCCAGCTTTAAGTTCAATAGTAGTACTGCATTGTTTACTGCTCTGCCTTACTGTTCTATCCTCGTGTGAAACTAGCAGTACGCGTGCCCTGGCCCAACCTGTCCGGCGTATCGATCCAACACCCCATGCCAACCCCTACCTCGCATCCCGCTGCCACCCTAGGACCAAACCATCTCACCCTCCGCCTAACTGAATAATACAATAATAAATTCGATACGAAAAAAGTTTACGATAACGAAACTTTCTTGTTATTCGTTAACTTTATTTATTTGATAAATATTAGTTGATGCAATTATTATTAATTGCTTTAAGTTTATTTTTCGATTTGTGCGTAAACTTCGTAAAAACAAATTCAAACAATAAATATGCTTTATACTATACTAGCTGTCGCCCGCAACGGCGTCTGCGCGGAATTTAAAAAAAAATAGTAGCCTACATGTTTTTTCCAGACTATGTTCTACATCTATGCCAAATTTCAGCCGGATCCGTTCAGCCGTTGTGGAGATACTTTCAAACAAACATCCATCCATCCGAACATTCACATATATAATTTAGTATGATTACTTGATAGCACACGCAAGTTGTCATATCATGTGACTATGTTCATTTAACATACTAGGCATTTCAAAGCTTGTAAAAGAAAAAAGTAAACTAGACACGGCGGCGAAAGACCATCACATAAAAATTTAACAGATAAAACTCAGGAGTACAATATTATCTCTATGTTAAGCCTGTATTTATTCTTTCTTACCTTTCTATGCAAGCAACAAATGCTTATTTTACTTTTCAAATACTATCAAATCTTTTTAAGACTTCGTATAAAGAAAATTTGATACTAATTGTTTTAGAACACAGTCATATACTCCTTTAGGCGTCATTTTTTTTTATCTTAGTTATACGCGTTATAACCAAGTAGGTAGAAATAACGACAAGTTCATTAAAAATGTATACTTCAATCAGGAGCCGTTTGACTGTTGTACAGTTTTAAAGCAAAATAAAAAGGGCTGGGGAATTTACTCGTGCGAGATAAAATAATTTGAAATATAAAAGCCCTTTTCGTTTACGGTTTTTCTGTAGTCACTTTTATGAATGTTATTCGTTGTTATTTCATATTTTTTTACATTGAGTTAACAAAATAACAGAGATTTATTACATATTCGATTCCGAAACGAAAATTCGGTACAAATCTAATCGATTTAAAAATCGAATAATTTCATAATTCATAGATCATTAAATATTCATTTAAATAATTTTCGGATCGATTTTTTAATCGGGTTGAATTTAATATTGTTTTCAGCCCAAAGAAAACGTATGAATATAAAGCGTAATATCGTATGCTTGTAAAGGAATACGGTTGTCAACGGAGAACCGTAGAGCGTCCCGTGCAAACGTAACCCTACTCATAGCCACTCGATGTGGGTATTCGACTAGAAGCGCCATAATTCTCAATATAGTGACGTCTTCTTATTCGCAGCTCCTACGAGTTCATTTTATTTAAAAGGAAAATGAACGCGGGGGACTTCGGGTGACGAGTGCAGAGTTAATATTTAAAACGTAACTTTCACTTTTATGTGAAAAACGTTGGATGCTACAGACTTTTTATTTTAGAAAATTCTATTTAAAAAGATTATTTTTATTTAATTTTATCTACCCAATTAAATCTATAAAGTTCGTTTAATTAATCCATAATTACAAATGCTAGAATATTCTAGAAATGCGTAAAAATATTTGGTCGTAGTTATAAAAACTGAATCGCATTCGATGAAAAAATGCGTCTATAATATACATGTATTTCCGAGATATTTACAATCATATTCCGTTTCACTGACGCCAAACATAGACAAAAATATTAAGAGGGATTTCATTGTCTTCGAAAAAGATATAACGTGTTTTGGACAGGTGTATCTGCAATAGAAGCCGACGTTAACTGACCTAAACGAATATAACTGTCACCTAAAGGAAGATAAGCGACAGGGAACCTTATCTTCATTTGTCGGACATAGGTTCACATTTAGCACGATCCACAATTTATTAACCACTAAAAGACATTTAAGTACAGAATTAGTTAAGAATAGATTAAAATAGGGTCTTGACAGACAGACAGACGGACAATAAAGTGAGTGAGTCCTATAAGTGTTCCGTATTTTTCCTTTAGAGATACGGAACCTTAAAAATACGTTAATAAAAGACAAAAAAAAATACTAAAATCCTTGATATAATAATACAATTCAAATAGTAAAACTAACTGGATTTATGTAAATCCTAGATTTTATTTGTTCGCCTACCATAATCGGATTGTCTCATGAACTGCAGGACCTTTGAACTACAATAAAACCATTTTATTTGTCCATATAAAGGCAAATATCATCTGACAAATGATTTTATCTGTACGCTGTAGCTTTTTTACGCTTTTACCTAAAAGTTTACTTTACTCTTTTTAACCTATAGCTTCTTTATAAATTCACCGATTAGTGATTTGCTTAACTTGTGTGCTTACTACCAAAATCCTTTTTAAAAGAGCTGTAGCTTGAAGCGAAATTGAAAGAGTAAATTTACTACGTAATATCTACTAATTAACACTGCTAAAAGAGAAATTATAGAGATCTCTTAAAAGACCCGACTTACCCAATTAAAACAATACCTTGGTAATATATCAAGTTTTAACTAAAACGTTACTTGACGCTCTCAATACTAAATTACAGTTTTCTACTCTCTATTAGAAATTAGAAGTATGAATTAGTTTTCAAAAATGTATTGTTACAATTGTATCGAGATATATCACATCCGTGTAATTAGTAGTCTTTTTAACATGATTTTTC